AGAATTGGGAACAGATAATATCAGCATATTATAGACACTGATAATTGACTTAGCAGCGGTTATTCTAACCTCCAAAGTACAAGGAAAAATAATATTGGTTTGGGGAAAATATGAATTTGGTTTTTAGTGTGATTAAATATCTAATAAAAATAGGATTTAACAAAAGAACATCTTGATATTTGGAATAAGATAAGAAACTGTAATGTTTTTCTTTAAAAACTGTTACAAATACGAAAAGCTTTAAAATACTTCTTTTAATGACGTAAGCTTGCGGGCAGTCTAAAGGGATCACGATGAGTCATACAGGTGTAATATTAATTAATTTCTAATTATTGTATATATATATAATAATTATATTTTAGTGTAGGATCAGATAAAAAGGCCGGGAGCGACACAGCCAATATGCCTTATAATTGATCATTTGTGACGAACACAACCAACCGAAGTGAACCTACACAATGGTAAAAAGGTTAACGGTAAAACTGATAAAAATCTATTCTGATGTACATTGCTTCTTGAGTTTCCTAAATGTTACGATGCCAATTATATCATATTGTAGTTACTCATAAACCTATAGCGAGAGATAACTAAAAAATCACTGACTCCTATGTCCAAGCTGTGCCTTTTAGGACTCTACTCTCCACCCTTACCCTTGCTACATCTACATTGGAGGAGTATTTTCTTAACCAACCAACCTTAATTAGAAGTAATTTAGTTAAATAACATTTAAATTGGTTCACTAATGGCGAAAACATTGCGTAACAAACACACAAAAAATATGCAGTCGAATTAAGAACCTTGTCGGTTAAAAATCATATTATGTTAGTATGCTATAATAGTACCGCGACGGGCTGACGTCGACCGCAAGTATCTCATTTGTATACGAAACAAGCATAGCTCAAAACACTGGCCAGGCACATCAGCCACAGAATTCCCTTTAATTGTACAAAGGCACAACGTCTGAATCGCGGAATCAGACGGGAGCCGCATGTTACCACCTGCGTTGTGGTCTTGAGACTCATTTAATGATAGCGACTGTGGCAGTATTTAATTTTTTAATATTCATTATATTTACGTGAATGACTAATAATACAAAATTTACTTTTATGGTATAGAAAGCTTTGGTGCGCCTGCAAAAATCTATGTTTTAAAAACATATGTTTAATCTATTCAGTTCTATTTACAGATTTGCCTAATTTTTTTAAAATAAAACCACAGATTATTATCAAGCACTGGAAACCATTTTTAAGTAACGTTCAAAAGAGATTTTCTTCTACACATTTCTTGTTTCTTTTTATAGCTTTCTTTCTCTATATATCTCCGGTTCTAATTGAGGCACGCGGTTCATTTTGGTCTAGACCAGTCGCTTTGAGAAAGAGTTCTTTTATTTGAGTTTTTCCTATTTAAATTGGCCGAGTTGGAGGGAAGCTAGATATGAATATTGAATTTAAAACTAAACTTTATGCTGCGGAGCAATACGAGTACTTCTGTATTTTATGAATTTATTTAAACAAATATATATGTCCAACCAAATCTTACAATATTGGACATCTAATACTTTTGAAAATAAACCAACTATAGGAGAATGTGTAGCAAATTTGTTTGTGTTTATGTACTTTGTTGTTAGTACAGTAGTAAATTCATCGTTTGTTTTTATAATTTGATTAGGTACCCTCTTTACGATTGCATTGCTATGTTAAAATATGCTTCTAAGCGTTATACGACATGACCAGAACATGAAACTGGACCGTTTCCTAAAAACAGGAGGGTTGTCACAATCAATTCAGTTTCGGCTCATTAGTGAGAATAATAAAATTTAGAATTGAGGAATAGGTACACATTATTAACGCGTTGTCTAAAAGACTGATTAGCAATGTTACTTAAATTCTTGAATAAGGATATAAGTTTCTACATAGTGCGCTCCTCATCACAATTGTGTCCTTAATAACAAGTTAACATGAGCAATGCTCTTGCAATAATTGCACGGTAATAATACATTTGGAGAATTCTCGTCCTTTAATCATATTATAAAACTTATTTACATATAGTAAATGTACAGATATAATATTTCTAATTAATTTACTTTTAGAACTTTATCTTTGGTTAACTATTTACTAACGCTTTATTTAAAGTATCGTTGTTGAAACCTCTAATACCTAATGTTATTATTAAGTCCTCCGAGACAAAACTAATACAGTAATTTACATAAATAATTTTAGCTTCACAAGAATAGATATTGTATTTTAGAAGCACGAGTTAGAGAGTAGTCCTTGATAAAATTATTAGCATAATAAATATAACTTGAGAAACTTGTAGGACACGGCAAAGTATAGCTTTAATTGGAACTGCCTGATTGGGCGCCAACAAAGGTCCTCGTTTAAACCGCATTATTACTGAAGTACTCCAGGTATCTCTATTTCTCTTAGTAGTGGGATGAGTTGTCATGAGAGATGGGATCACGTTGTAAGTGTACAAAGAACACAAAAACTATTATGAGTGTTTATAGGGACTGATAATCGCTTAACATATATCAAGCGGGCCTTAGGCTTGTTTGCTAAGTTAAATAAATAGAGTCGAGTACGACGTGCGTGTCGGCAGATGAAGGTATGTATGTATACCATATTTAATCGTTTTTTTTAAGCAACATTTGTAGGATATCTATGATTAACATTTAGACAACAATCGCGACTAACCTAATGTAAAAGTAATGATTCTATTTGTATTATTACATACAAAGTTTGTTTTATAACAGAATTTAATTAATTTTTTTGGTCAAGTATAAGCTTAACGATTCTGTTCTGAGGCAACTGAGCTTCCGAATAAAGATATAAATAATACAAGCGTACAAAAAATGTGCATTTTTTTTAAAGAAAACAAATAGGAGCACTCACAAAGATCTAATGTTAACGACCTTCTAAAAACCTCATGCCGCAACGAAGACCGAATCTCTCATAAGTTTTTAAAAGCATACTAAAATTTACATTTGTACCGTCGTAAAGGCGTTCAATCCTCAAACACACGACCTTAGTGTCTTGCCCGGGGATTAATTATGCGCATACTTTGTTGTGGAACTGAACATCAACAAACAATACGTAATAAATAACGATACGACGAGTTTACAGGAAATTAAAAAAAAAGGAATAGCCAACCGCTTGTGACTGTAAACCATCCGTACATTGACGCCTGTCGCTACTTCAGCCTGCAATTTTTATTACTATAGTGTATTAAAAACTTTTTATAAATCTAAAAAACGTTTCAACTTAATAAATTTAAAATTTTAACCAATGAATATTCATGAGAAGTAATGTTGTAAATAGTATGGAATCAAAAGAGCATAAACAAACATTTTAAATTAACCCAGTCAAACTAGTGTTCCACTGTTTGGCGTAAATCGTTTGCTTTTAGGTTTATGTTAACTATCTGAATATAGTTTAAGGCGTAACAGCGTGCGGTACAGAAGTTAATTGCATATGTTTTTTTTTAAATTATTGGTATAATTGTTTTATTTATTTAAAATATACATTCTCAATCAATCCCCGGACTGAGTAAAACCTTTGTACAGTTGTTGTAAGAATTTGCAAGGCTTACGTTCGTTCATTCAACATTTGTTGCAAAATAAAAAAAACGAGTGATTTTTACAGTAGTCGCGTATGATGCGTAACATCTAAGTACTCGTAATACCTGACAGGCAACCCTTGCGCTCTTTGGTCAAATCAAATTCCCGTTACACATTTCCGTTCCTTAAGAAGCATTGGCTACAAGTGTCGGATAGCAAGCTATTTGTATTAAAATGAAATAGGTACCTTAAGCAATCATTGTGTTAGACACTGATTACTTAAGGTATACAAGAATCTTTAAAGTCGTCATAAAAGCACAGGCTTAAATTATATGACCGTGGCCTGATTATGTTGTACTCGTATAGCATGTTTTATTTATTTATTTTAAATAGCATATTCGTCACGCAGCCGTGCTCTATGCCTAATGCATTTTCTAACAGTTAACCTTTGGATGATGCATAGAATATAAGTAGGTAGTAGGTATGTAAAATAATTAGATTATAAACTAAAATTTGATTACATAATATCTGCGTACCATGTAAGATGGACCGCGTTTAATATGCTATGTATATACATATGTAAGATCCTTTTATCTACCGAATAACTTTAAGATTTTTAACATAATGCCTTGATCCTGATGACAATATAAAAACGTTTGAATAAACAACAAAATTATAAGAAAAAGAATAATAAAGTGACAAACAATTAATTAATCAGTTTTATATTCGTGAAACATACAGATAATAACAAATATGCTATAATCGCCTGTTCATTGTCACTCAGTGACCTTGTAAGACCACATAAGTGTTGTTGTAAGAACGATTCCCTGAATTCCATTGTTGTATTTTAGACGTGTTCGTGAAATAGAATTTCAAGTAGGGACAAGGTTTTATTTGCTCATTTAATATGTTTCATGCAAATGTTTGGTTAAATTTAATATTTTTCAGTTACTATTATATTTCTAGTGATCATGAACAAAGCAAAGGACAAATATCTTTTTGTTGGAAACTATTATATTTGGCTGAATTTATACGTCTACATCTGGTTATGAGTTCATTTTAGTCTAGACATAGGGCGTAGCACTTTTCGTTTGAAATAGACCTAGCACTCAAGATTACATGAAACCTACCTAATAAACAAACAAGAGGTAGATACGCCACCAACGCACAAAACGCGTGCTGTGAATTGGTCCTAATTAGAACCACTGCGAGGGAGAGCATGTACTAATTAAGTCGAGAAAATTCATAAAATGCCTGCCTGTGTAATCCGAAAGTGCACAAATTACGACAAAAAAATAAATGAAGATACAGGAATATCATAACACAAGTGTATGTTTTGTTCTAAAATGCATTAATAGATGTAGGTATACAGTGTTACGGAACAATGATTTTGTGAGTGTAGTGTGTATCTTATCATTGCACACAGGTATAAACAATGTCTTACCCAACTCCTCCGTTCAGGGCGGTGACCAAGCCGGGTCTCTCATAACACATATGCATACCAGCAATGTCTGCGGTGCACTTATCAACACTTATTGTAATATACAAACACAAATATTCAATTCAATCCACTCCACGAACAAACATTTTTGATTGAGACGAATCTCAATCAAGTAACACACTGCAGGATAGCTTCTGAAAATTTAGAAATAATAATGACAACTAATACTAAGCCGAAACATGTCATGTAGCACTCTAGGAACTGGGAGTTTACTATATTATATATAATATAATCTACTGTACGTTTACGATATATAATATAACCTTGAATTAAATAAATGGTGATTTACGGGAGTACCGGATCGGTCAGATGATTAATTAAAAAGCAGGATGAGCTGATACTTTTTGCCTTATTTAGCGAATTTCCGGTGAGTAGGATGTGGCGGGTTTTTTTTCGATACTATTCGATGACGTCACTAAAACTTGTCAATAAAGTATGTTACTTGTACACCATGCATCGGTACAGTCGCGGTAAGAAAGTTAAATTAATACGATTTAATTTTAGTGTTGAATTTAATTCTATCTAACCTTATTTAAATAAGGAACACTTGCAAATAAGTACTTTATACGGGTAGATCGTAGAATAAACATCTAAATAAGGCCATTTCATATTATGTCGGAAAACCATTTTGGAATAAAATCCTTATGGATATTCAATTTTTTGAAAGTTGCAATTTCATGTTTGCCTATATAAACCAATTCTACATATCAAATTTTGCTGAAACGAATAATTATATTATGATCTACATACATTGTAGCTGCTTGAAACAGCTATGATATATTACTTTGAGTAATGGAATCGAATTAGCCTGTGAAAGAACATTTATCTTGATAGAAAATGAAAAATAGATAGCAAAAATATTAAAACGTTCCAAACTGTTTGCACAGCTAAGGATCGTAACAGAAGCGCTATGTGATAATGGATTACTTTTTATAGGTAATATAATCTTAAATTAAAGAAACGGTGATTTACGGAGTACCGGATCGGTTAGATGATTAATTAAAAAGCAGGACGAGCAGATACTTTTTGCCTTATTTAGCGAATTTCCGGTGAGTAGGATGTGGCGGTTTTTTTTCGAGGGTCAAGAGAGTCATTACGCGGGTGTTTTCCCGTGTGATTGATCTTAGTTACGCGCTCGCTCATACCCGAAAATGCTCTGTTAAAAACATTGGACTGTTTCCGGCAAACTATGTGGAGTAACTATGTATACGTGTAGTTTTTTAAATGTGTGGTGAAAACGGAATCAGGGTAAAAGTAACAAATTGTGTGTTACTTTAATTACTTCGCTACTCTTTGACCGGATACTGTATTCCACAAGTCACAAAATGTACATTCCACTTTAATAGGTAATTGTTCAAGTCGACCCTTTCTGGAGCAGGCGTGGGAAAGGCCCGTATTTCGTGTAATTCTTTTCATTATACGTACGGACTTACACGATTTGAATGACAATAGAACAGATGTTGAATTACAGGTAAAGCAGGCGTTCTCATCGATATGGTTCTATAACATGGTCCGTCAAGGTTTTAAACGCTAATACTTTTTATTGAATAAACAATAATTTTAAACTGTAATACAAGACAAATACTGAGTGTTCTACATCTAGATACATTAACCTAGTTTAAAGTCGAGGTCGCGTTGTGGTCAATTCGTCACTGTGATTCTCTAAAAATTTACTACAGATAATAATTTACAATCAGTCCGCTCCCAACTCAGGGATGTCGTAAAAAAAATGGAGTAATGATACTTTTTGTCTTTACATGATAAATGTATTTAAGGTATAACATAAAAGTTCCAAAAGGGATACATTTTACATTATCTGGGCAATTAATGAATTATATTTTCGTATTATTATGAACCCTTGCAATGTTACAATCCTTCTGAACAACAATCCTACTAAGATCCCAGTTTATATAATACATATCTTGAAAACAGATCGCTAAGCTCTTTGAAATTAGTCCATATTAATATTCGTAGGCTAACAATATTTGAATTAAAAATACTAAAACGTAACGTAAAAGTAATTAAGTAAACACAATCATAATTTCATTTAGCGTAATAAAGTATGCTCTGGCAGCTCATTAAAAAACTATTGGCACCTGCCACTAATAGTAAACATTAAATCGAAGATGAATTTAATTAATTATTTATTATCCGTAAACACCACCTATAAGACTGTATTTTGTGAAGCGCTACAGCGGCACAATACGGAACTAAAATTCACATAATGCTTTTGTGTTGAACTGTATTTAGATTAGATTAACTAATGAGCCAGTACTGCTAAAATTACATTTTAACTGTCATTTGCACGTAACTATCTTAGGAATTTGTTTTTACAAACATTATCGTAGGATTTTAATTCCATCTTGAAATAAACTTCAGTTAGGTCATCTGTTTAATGTATCTTATATAGGTTGATATAGATTTAGTAGATATTATACTATTCTTATCAATTATTTTTGATCATTTAAGTGCATGCATAAGTTAGTAAAAGACATCAATCATGAATTATTTGTCGGATTTCTAACAGCAAGAAACCTTTTAATTTATTTATATTCCAAAATAGCGAATATCAATGTTGTAATTGTTACCAATTTGCAACTGATATTGTAAATCATAAACTCCCAGTTCCAGCAATCAAGTGCGTCATGCATGAGTCAACATCATGGACATAACATCCGTCGGAGCGATTCGTTTCTTACAAAAACGATGCGGTTGCGTCGTCCGTATCTATCCTACGATCCAACACTGCAATCCAAATGATCACTGGTGGTCCTCACAGATTTCACTGTGACGCCTCACAATCACACAGAGATACTAAGCTCTGCCAACACGCACGCATTCCATGTTCAAATGCAAAGCGCATCACGTTTGCCACTCACGTCCGTACGAAAACCCGCCAAAAGCGAGTTCCCCGAGTACCTTTATGAGGTGTCTGTAAAGTACAACCAAGCGCGTTATGCGACGAGCACAAGCATACAGCAGGCGAGGACGCGCGCGACTGCCGCCGACTCCGCTGAGGCCGAACGCCCGAACCGTGTCGCTCGGCGCGGGGCGGGAGCGACGAACGCCGTTCGCAGGTTATCGTGAGTCGACTACACAGATAATGATGTCAAAAGTGGATCGGACTAATTGTGTTCTTTAGTTAGTTGCAAACGTTCAAAATCCGCTAAACTGACAGGCTATGTTGCATGTACAAAACCGTTGATTAGTGAATAACTCTTGATGGAAACTCATTGTGAAGTTTCCTGAAAACAATTTTCAATTTCTGGTGCGAAATGTCAAGAAGATAAATGTGAATCGTATTTTGATTTGAGAAATTGGTTACAAAAATACAATAATAAAAGGGTCTTGATGATTAAAAAACCGAAACTTCTATCAAAAGTTGTAGTAATAAAGTAGTATTCGTGTAAGAGTAGAATATCGCTGTTCGAATAGAGCATACGGCGCGAAACACCGGCCGTAATTTTTATTGTCCCACGCTGGGCGTTGTGTCACAGCATTATGACACTTCTTGTCAAACAGCAAGAGCAAAAATGGCTTAGCATCACTGGAACCCGCAAAGTATTAGTCAAATCGAATAATGTTGATATTTTGATGAGCCACCAAACGTGCACCGTATTGCGAAGGCACTGAAGTTGTTTATGCATTGTCTACCTAAATGGAGATGGAGCTTTTTGAATTACACGTGGTTTTTAAATGTAGCCGTTTTATTTGACGTAGTAAGGTTGGGTTCCGATTGTCTAACGAGATGAATGCCTTTGACTTCCATTCAGCCTCTTGTCTAATATATTATTATAAATTTGAGTTGCATTAAGAACCTTCGGTTGCTGAGATTGTTGCAGTACTTACCTATTTGTTTTTGTCTGTGGTACTTACATATATATCATAAAAAAGCAACAATGACATTGTGTTCTAAGCGCTTATCGGAAATCGCGTTTCACACATAAAGCAACGGAGTCACTTGTAATGTATAAATATTATAATTACCGCTTGATAGAAGAACTAAACTCATTTCAACGTAACACTCGGCATAGCTGGTTCTACTTTACTGGGAATTTACTATATGACGTCTTTTACCCACTAAAATCCGTACATAAAAACAATATTGTACAAAAATAAACACGCACAGTAATTAGCACGTGCAAGGCTCCAGTAAAGCTATTCTATCGCGAACAATAATTACTCACGTTGAAATAGCGGGGAGTAGGCGTGTGCTAACTGAAAATAGTTGTATATTGACCATTAAGTGAATTGCACACGGATAACTAATTCGTTGTGACCCAAATTCCGAGTAACAAACAAAGAGCTCCTGCGACGCGGTCCTAGCGGAAGTGGATGATCCCAGGGGAGCGGAGGGGGGATTGGGTAAGCTTAGGGCCACACAAACAACGAGAAAATGCGCTGGTGATGTCGTCGTTGATTGTGTTCTCTACACAATCAACGACGACATCACCAGCGCATTTTCTCAACATAAGAGTTTGTTTCATTAGCAACTGCTTCTAGTGAGATTTTGACTTGGCTACCGCAGAAGTACATTATTATATCCCTTGCCGTAGATTGAAAACGTGGTGTTTTTTTGTTGCAAAGTGGACAGCATTCGGGTAAAAATGAACAGTGAAATATTGGAGCGTCGACTGAATAATCCATAGAGATTCAGTTTAACAAAATCTTTGTATGCCATTTCTTTTTATTAATTAATGTATGGGTCACATTTTTGTCCCAAAGAATTTTATAAAGGGAATTGGCATGATGAAAACATCTGAATATCACAATTATATGCACATAGGCTTTTAATTGTGTAATATACAGTTGGTTTTAAAGGTATCTTGATCTAGGCATCCCGTTAAATATGCACGCAAACGGCCAACCGCTTTGGGTATTGGCACTCGAGTATAGAACGATACAGTATGTGCGCCCTTAATGTAATTACACCGGATACACGCACGTACGTGTTAGACCAGAGTTAATACTGCATACATAAACAACAGTACATTAGAAACCAAATGACGTTTAAGGAGGTGCAGATTGATTGTAGAATATATTGCATACCAATGAACGCTATGTATATAACAATGTTAATGTTGTAATAAGTCCACATACATTAGTATTTAACGGGGAATCATTTTACAATAGTTCCTTTTTTGATGTTGCAATAGATGGAGGAAATTTTCTAAATCAAGAAATAAAACATTTGCTTTAGTAAATGTTCAACTTACTTCAATTTGTTTTTTTACTGTAATACTTTTATTTCCAAATTCAGTTTTGTTGCCAAGTGGTAGTTCTCTTTACTTTTAATTTTAGAGATATCTATTTAACAGTAATCAGTATTCTTTGCAGATAAAAGACAGTTTGTGTTTTAAGGATAAGGCAAAAATGCTCATATTTCGGCTTCATTGCATGCAACTAAATTTTTATATTCATGATTTCGTGTGTAAGTAGCTGTACTCCTTCTTCTTAGCTTTTTTCCGTTTTAGGAAGGGCAGAGCCAAGATATTCCGTCAAAGGTTGTCGAGTCGGTTTTTTTTTGTAATAAAAAGACATTAGGAATATATCCTGTGTCTCTGGGGACTTTACAAACATACATGAAACGGACACAAAAACATCGAGACTCAGAACAACAATTTGTGGATCACACAAAGTGTCGTTCTATGTGGGGATCGGACCTGTAACACTCGGCGTAGTGGTAAGCGGCGTGGCGACCGCTTATACCACTACGCCATCCGTGCAGTCAAAGGGTAAAGTCTTCTTCTTTAGAAGTTTCGTCATACTGGTCCACCAAGTCAGAGGAGGTCGTCACGATGTCACCTTAAAAGTGCCAAGGATATTTTCGTTGCCGACTCTGTTCATTTTCGTCACTCCCACAGACCACCTCAACATTTTTATTTCTGCGGTGTGTAGTTTTTGGAAGTGGCATTATTTAACAGCCTAACATTCGGCACCGTACATCATTACCGGCCTAGCCGCTGTTTTTTACACTTTGTCTTTAGTGCGCATTGGCATTCGGGTATCGCACAGTACTTCTGTCAAGCTTCGCCATTTTTGACAGGCAGCCTTTACTCTATGTACCACGTCTGCTTCGTCTCCGTTGCCAGAAATAACCGAGCTGAAGTATTTAAATTGGGTTACTGTTGGGGCCGGTGTACCATCAGGGTAGTATACTCTGTCAGCTGTGTTAAGCACGTTTCCACAGAAACAACAAACGAGGTGTTCGATCTTCGTGCTAGTAACCCGGAGTCCGGCGGTTTTTAATGAGTTTACCCAATGGCAGACAACAGTTTGCATATCTTCAGCATTTCTAGAGGCCAGAACTATGTCGCCTGCCTAAAATAAATTGCAGTGTAAGTAGCTGTACATTTTTTTATTTGTAATCTCAGAAGTTATTACTGATATTCTCTTATATAAAAAACCGTTGGTAATATTCAGACTGAAATTATTACCTGAACATGAGTTTCGGATAATAATTTCCATTTATGCATGGATGAAACAATGTCATAGGAAATGTCTAAAAATGAGATGATATAGTAATTTTATTTTACAAAAATAAAAAAAAAGCGTAAGCGTCCTGTCAAGCTGTAAGTGTCAGCACAAGGCAAACCGTGATAATATTATCCAGTATTGAATAATTCATATCAATCCAAAAAACCTACATAAATCTGGATATTAAATAATAAATTATAATAAATTTACCAATAATATTTTAATGGTGCCGTTATTACAAACATTTGTCACATCTTATCAGTGCGTTTCTTGTCATTCGACCGATAGCAGTAACCGGATTCAAGGACTGAATAATGTACGTACATTATGTTAAAGTTGTGTACGTTAACTTGATTTCATTCATGTCCAGGAACGTACATTATTCGAACGATGTCAATGACGAAGTATTTTAAAAACCAACTGGTGATCCTTACAACAGTATAGTCGCGGATGATGGCATGATATCCGACGTTCATTGGTCAAATCAAATAGAGCGCTTCCTCAAGTTCCTGTTACACACTTCCGTCGTTTTTAGATAGCAAGAAAGCGAGAGGGATGGTGTTACACATGAAAGACACTTTTGAATGTTCTAATAAATTTAGAAACAAAGACATGGAGATAAAATGGTGTATCTCAAAGCGTTTGAACTAATAAGTATTGTTGAAAACTGTTTCTTAGTTCTATGTAAGTAACAATTTTTAAATAAGGAAATAGTATACCTGAATTTTACACAATTATCGAGCGAATACAAGCAAGGTAGCAATCGATAACAAGTAGTATACTCGTACATACATCATAAGTTTATTTATATTATTAATATCCCTTACACATCATTTTTGACTAAGTTTTTTTAGTGTCATATTGGATTTCATGTTACAAACCATAGCTTATTCTTTCTTTTATACCGAAATACGGCTGTGATCCGGCACCGGCACCTATCGGCTTTTGTGAAGTTCCTACCAAGAACTTTCACCCCACCACTTTGCGATCGCAAGCAAACGAACTAATGTTGCGGTACCAAGGAGGTTAGTATATATTAATGAAAGTAACAACAATCATTAGGAATTTAAAGTCATTAAATTTGTTAATAAAGATAACCTATCTAAGTGGAGAGTGTGATAACATGCTGCTGTTTGATTGGTAATAGGTGTCCAATGGAGTATGAAAGTATTAGTGTTTATAGCTTCTATCATAATATATACGGTAGAACATACATACCACATACTTATTGATGCACGATTATTAACAATATTAAGATTACCTCGCAAACTCAATTTCGATTAACAGCAAAATTTACGTTTTTAGTAGGAAATGTGGCGGACTCAAAATTTGTAAGTAACCGCGTAATTAGACGGTGTAGATTTATTTATCAATTCAAGCAGATGGTCTTTTATTGACAATGACTAATGGCTTTACCACCAGTCGCCGTTCTGGGATAATCGTTAGTAACGTTTTATGTGCCTTTTTGTGACTTTATACTAAATATGTTTATGGCATACCACAATGTTTGCTTAGGTGGCAACTTATAAATATGAGATCAGATCATCATGGACCCTGTCGGGAACAGCAATAGATGAGAGAGGAAGATATAATTCAAATAAATAATAATA